AAGTGGTCGGCAATCATGACGACCAACAAAAGTATAGACAAATCGCTGAGAAATATGTGACGGAATGGATTCGTATGGGAGAAGACCCCTCTAATAAACACATGAAACTCAGTTATAATGACAACAACACCTGGTTTTTAATGTATAATTTCTATGCGGATGTGCTTTTGGGCACTAAATTGATCCCCGAATCGGTTGGATATTTGTTTTACATTGTTATTCAATTCATTTGATTGCAATTTTTATTGATTAATAGATATACAAACAACAGGACGAGTGGTACCTAACTGTGCAGAATAAATACGGCGTTCCCTTAATGAGTGGTAACCCTAATACTCTGTATGACTGGGTTTTCATTGCAGCCGCCGCCTCTACTAACGCCAAACTCCGACAGTCTATGTTTGATAGGACGGCCCAATGGCTTAGGGAAACCTCAGTCCACGTGCCCTTCGCGGACTGGGTTGACACACAAACTGGTGGTTCCCCAGGATTTATCAATAGACCGGTTATCGGGGGTATATTCGCGCCGTTGACTGTAAAACTTAATTAAAACATTATTTATCTTTGAAAATTATATTATATTTAATATTAAACAATTAATGAAATGTATCTTTTAATATGACTTAAACTAATACACCTTAAGTATGATTATGCTGTATAAATACTATAATTAATTGTTAATTTCAATTGATTGCAAAAAATGATTTATGATTAAAGTCAGAGTAGGCCAGACATTATTTATTTATGTTTTTTACAGGTAAACCATTTTAGAGTCAATCCTAATTAATGTTATATTATTTGACAATTTTTATAATCCCTTTCATTATAAGTAATTATTAATCCCTACTCATACATGTGTTATGATATTTGTGATTAGTTTTTAATCAAATGATTACAAGTACTGTAATAATGCTCACTCTTACCCACATGAACACTTCTGATTAAAGTACATTCATGTACGGTACAATGTTTTGATAAATAGATACATAACAGCAAGATAAATTATTTTACTTATACTGTGTTAATAAAGTTTTACTTTTAGCAATTAGATTAAATAACTCTATTATTATAAATAAAATAGTATAAATCAAAGTATCGTTCAATCAAAATAAATGAATTAAGTTTTTATGCAGTAGCATATTTTGTTTTATAAAATAACATTGAAAGTTTCAATTTGAAACAGTAACGACTAATTTGCCACAATCATTTTAAACACTATGGTCACTATAGCAGCGAGTTCCATGTATTACAAATTATTACAACTAGTCATGTATAGACTAAAGATAATAAATGAGTAATGAAAGTATTTTCAACACTAGTTATTTTTTTAATGATAAACAATCATAAATATAAGAGTTATACATTTTAACATATGAATGAAATTCTATAAATTTATTAATCATTGAATCATTAATATAAAATTAGTACACTATAAAGTTTATAAAATATTTATTACTACTAAGTTTATAATAAAAGCAAATAACTAATGCTGTGAAACATTATAAGTTTACCAAGCTCATACATCCCTATTTTTAAGAGATTTAAATATTTGGAACTCAATGCACTATACTATAGTGTACTTTAAAGCTGTAGTAGTTTTAATAAAAAATATATATAATATTTATTGAAATAGATAACAAGTAGAGATTTTGTTTTTGCTAAATTTTCCAAAAGCATCTGGCATGATTCACATCCTTATAATTATGAATTACTTAATTATCTTTAGTGAAGTATATAAGAAATGAGTTTTTATTATTTATTCTCACATTATTTTCATAGTTATTAGTAGTTAATTATTACAAACTGGTAATTAATAATGATTTTTAAACTTTCATTAATTGTTTTCATTTGTGTATTCATTGGCGACAAGAGTTGCAGTGCTGTTGACAACGGTATGAATATAATAATCATTTGAACAAACATTAAACTTATTTATTTAATATAAATCCTAAATGTATATTGAATTCCTTAACAGATGTGTTACCATCAGTTCCCCTTGTGGTCAAAAGTCCATACCTGTCCACATGGATGACCAGTCGGCAGTTGATGGGTGATTGGCCCCGATTCTGGAACGGAAACATTAAAGGTATGGCCGGTTTGGTGAGAGTGAACGGACAGACCTACGAGTTTATGGGTCACCCGACTGCAGAAGATATCGGTACTAAATTGCAGGCCAAACAGGTGTCCCTTAAGGTGACTCCCACTCAGTCTATATTCACATTCAATGCCGGCCCCATCGCACTGGCAGTCAATTTCTTCACACCCATCGACCCGACAGATTTCAAGCGACTGTCACTCCCGGCGTCTTATATATCTGTGAGCGCCTGGTCTCTGGATTCGGCCACTCATGAGGTTGAGGTATATCTCGATATATCTGCCGAATGGACGTCCGGTGACTCCAATGAAGAGGTGGTTTGGGAAATGATGGAAGTCATAGGAAATAAAACCATAATCATTGGTGATATGAGACTCAAGAATCAAAAGACATTTACTGAAAATAGGGGTAAGTCTCGGAAATATCTATGAAAACAATATTAATTGAATTATTCAAACATTCAGATTCGGCTCAATGGGGAACTGTTAAATTCTTCACCGATTCCACAGTCACTCATGAGGTACTTATCATTTAAGTTTATGATGAACCCTAACAAATATACGCACCGGTAGGCAAATTCATGCTTCACAATGAGGTCGAAATTTGTAAAGAATGGCAAACTCGACAATATAGTTGACCAGAAATTCCGCAAAATTAGTGACAACTGGCCAGGCATTGGATACGCCCGGGCTATGACGGCCAGCCCCTTGAAAAATGCATCACCAAAAGTAGAGTACTATGGCATCGCACACGTCAGGCGCCCCGCAATTGAATACACGGACTCCCAGTTGAATCAACTCTGGGAAAGCTATTTCAGTGGCGATGACAATAAAATGGTGGACTTTGTATATGAGGACAGGGAGGACGCCCTAAAACGTGCCAATGATCTCGACGCTAAGGTTGAGGGCGACGCTAGAAAGGCTGGAGGGGATAGTTATGTGAAAGTAGTTTCGGCAGCACTTAGACAGGTATGTATGGCATAAACATAGATAATAGTATTTATGAGAATGAATACAACTGTCCATTCAATCAGAACAGTGATAACATGTAGTTTAGGATCAGATACTATATTACAACTGAATCGTGTATTTAAGATACATTTCTGTTGACTCTTATCTAAATTGATGAAAATTTTCCATAACTTTATGATAGGCTTATGGCGGCACTGAAATGGTCGGAACAGCTGCCAAGCCATGGATGATGTTGAAAGAGATCTCATCGGATGGCAACTGTCAGACAGTGGATGTGATTTACCCTCACTTTCCCGTCCAGTTATATATGAATCCATCGCTTTTGAAATACCTTTTGGACCCTTTGCTCGACAATCAGGAGAGAGGGTTCTTCCCATTGAAGTACTGTATGCACGACTTGGGCAGTAGTTATCCCCGTTGTATTGGACACAAAGATGGCAAACAAGAGGACATGGAGGTCGAGGAGAGCGCCAATATGTTGATAATGATGGGCGCGTATGTGAAAGCCTCGAAAGATAAGCAATTTGCTGCACAACACTATAATATCTCAAAACAGTGGACACAGTATTTGGTGGATCACGGGTTGATCACCGGTAAAGACATTCAGCAAATATAACATTATTTTTATAAAATTATTTTAAAATGTAATATAGGTATTTAATTATCTTAGGCGATGCTCTAACCACTGATGACTTTTTGGGAAAAATCAAAAACTCGACAAACCTTTCGGCGAAAGCTATTGTAGGCATCGGAGCTATGGCTCAGTTGGCGGAAGTGGTCGGCAATCATGACGACCAACAAAAGTATAGACAAATCGCTGAGAAATATGTGACGGAATGGATTCGTATGGGAGAAGACCCCTCTAATAA